CCTGCATCTCTGTTCTCTGCCAGGTCCTCTCGTGCTACAGTTGTCCTGAATTTTGGATGAATTTTGGCACAGGCAGTTGGCTGTGTGGTGACTGGTGCAAATCTATGGGCTGTCATGATGTGGTTCCTGGGTGACAATGCTCTTGGCTTCCGGGCCTCTGCAATTCTTGGTTAAGGAAAATACATCTAATATTAATTAATTAGCACAAATTTGCTATTTTATGTGTTCGATCAACTCAGCCATGAAAATTCTGAAATGCAGTTAAATCAAACAGAAAGGAAGTGGCTTTGTATCAAATGATTGAATTAATATAATTATCTTATTGATTAAATAATCAGATCAACCTACAGCTCCTTTATCTTCTTTACTTGGCCATTTGGGAAAGCAGCAGCTCTGAATCCCTGAAGCACCATTCTCAGTGCCAATGCCTGCCTTTATATTCCAGTCAGACAGCTGATCTGCAGGTGATCTCCAACTGAATCTCCCCTGGAGAGCAAGGCTCTGAGGTCCATTACAGCTGTCAACCAAAATTATATATATTTGAGCAAAGAGTGATCTCTTGTATACCCACTCTGTTGTGAATCATAGAATGGTTTGTATTTCAAGGGACCTTAAATATCATTTAGTTTGCTGTTCCAGGGGTTGAAAGGCTGGTGAGTCATGACTTTGTAGGGTTCCATGTGCCATAAGAACACAGGTACCTGTCTTGCAGGCCAAGGGCTACTTCAGGGGCTGCTTTTGGAGCTGGGGAGGTCCCCTTGAAATGTCTTACCTAATACTTTGTGTGGCTCTTTCTTGCAACGGGTTTCCTGTTCTTGTATCTTGAGGGGAAAGTGTGTGAGTGGAAGGACGTGGGTATTATTAATAATAGATATTAATGTGGGCTAGCGTAGGGAGACCTCCCCACAGGACTGATGTTCTGCTGCAAGTAATTTTAGCCAGTGGGTTTAGTTGCTCAGCTATTTAATGTATCACACTGGTTTCCTGGCTGGAGGTTGCTGTCTTAGTCCTGTCAACTATGAGACCTTGCTAATGGCCCTGATTCTTGGTGCCTCACTAGAAGTGTGAGAGGAAACAGCAATGTCATAAAGAAGTTATGTCAGGGAGAGCCTGGCAGCTGCAACTTGAAGCTGTAAAATGTCGGTTTAAGTTTAAATGAGGGTCAGCTTCCCATTGGAGTAATCCAAGTTTTAACCAGGCAGCCAGCCAAGAGCTGGCAGTGATTAGCCAGAGCCATTATGATCTGTGAACACAATTCTGTTGACCCTGTAGGTCTCCTGACTTGAAAACATTAAAAACTTGACACAATTTGGTCCTAAAATTATCATTGAGCCCCTCAAAGTTTTATCTTCCATAGGCATGTGCAAGAGCCAGTTGCTGTCTCTGCAATTAGATAAGTTTAAGTTGGTTTTAGGCTTTGAAGCAATGCTGAGCTTTGTGTAGGAGTTGGACAAAAGGTTAGGTCTTTTGAGAAAGTCCCTGCTTTGGGCTGTTTCCTAGTCCCAGTCTGTGACTGTCTCCGTGGTCCTGCAGCCACCTCATTGCTGATAAGCGATGCCATTTCATCCTTAATCATTGCAGCTGACAGCAGCGAGGATGACTCACCCACAGCACTGTTGTTGGAATGTGAGTTTACCTCCAATTGTGCTGTGAGGAGAGAACGAGCAGGAAGGGTTCCTGAAGAGGCTGTGTTGTTCCTGCCAGCTCAGGGCTGCTGGCAGGGGGCTCAGGCACTGCCAATATTGCTGATCTCTCTGAAATCTCACTCCTGACATGCCTCAGTAGGGGGTGAAAGGGTAAAAAAAAAAAAAAAAAAGGGACACAATCCAGGTTTGGCTTTGTGTTGTGCTCAAACTTCTGCATGGTTCCTCCTTCTACAGGAAACAGTCACTCTGCAGGTGAGGCGTGAAATACATCCACTGAAGGAATTGAAAGAGACTGTCTCAGCAGGGGAGGGATTTGAATTCTGTCAGATTTGGGGGGGAGGTTTCCAGCCTTCCTTGGATGCAGATTTCCCAGGGGTGATGCTTTTCCTCCTGCATGTGATTTTTGCTTTTGGCAAGCTGCCCTTTGGCGCTGTGTGTTGCTTGAGATGAAAGGCTGGAGCAAAGCATGTTCTTAACACTTAGGAAACCAGCTGTGTTGTCAGATTCACCTTGAAATACTGATGAACAGCTTTGCAGAGGCCAGCCCTTGTGTTACCCTGCCTTGTCCAGGCTGCTGCCTTGGCTGTAATCCATAGATGTGAGGAAGACCATGGCCTCTCTTTCTACTGGAAACAGCAGCAGGAGAGACGAGTTGATTGAAGACACAAAGAAGGAAGGGTTTGGTTCTAGCCTCCAATTCTGGAAGTCTGGTTCAGCCTTTGGGCTTGCACCCTGTGCTGATGTCCCCTCTGTGATAAGAGAGTCCTACCTGGGCTGTCCCTGAGCAACACCATTTCTCCTGGTTCCCTCCTGAAGAACTGTCACATTCACCCATCCCATGATGGGATCTTCCTCTTGTTGTCAGGATTTGCTTTTCTCTGATAATGTTGAGACATGGGAGCTTCAGGCTTGGGGAGATACTTTCAAGTGGACGGGATTAATAATTTCGAGGTGGATGGAAATAGCTGAAGAAACATCACTTGGAAATGTGTGCAGGTCAGGCACTGAGAGCATCCTTGGCCTGGCATTAAAGTCAACATTTCTGGCTGTGTACAGCAAAGTGATGATGGGTTGTTATTACAAGTATCTGCAGTGCAAGGGAGACCCCTCTGCTAGAGAAGGTCTCTCTGTAGCAGGTGTGTGTGATTCTGATGGTGCCTGGTGTGATCCATACAGTCAGTCTGGTGGCAGTGCTCTGATTTACAACAGTGCTATGGTACCTGCACTGGCACTGCAGTGTCAGAGATCTCACCCCCCCTTCTCTGATGCCTTGCTTGCTTTGTGCTGGTAAATTTTAGTAGCAGCTCCTGTAGATTTGTGTAAAGTCTTCTCTTCTTCCTCTTCCTCTTTCCATCCAGTATGCCTGAACAGTGTGCATCTGACAGGTGGTTGTGCCCCAGGAAGAGCTGTCTGTTCTCTGTTGAACATCACAACCCTTTTCCCTCTTTGCTTCTATCAACCAGTCAAGGTTTGTGACAGGGGAATGCTCTGATTGCTGGACCATGTTGTTCCATCAGTGGGCTATGCATGACTTGCAGGTGAGAGGGTGCCCCAGGTGCTTGTTGCCTTCGTTTCCCCTGCTTGTCCAAATGTGGCATTTCAGGAGGGTGCAATGGGGGTTTGCTCCCCTTCCCCATCTGTATTCCCTCACTTGAGAGAAGATGCTCCAGCACAGGATTTGGTGTCAGTGCTGGCACGGCTCATGATACTGCAAATGGTAGCAATTCCAAACTGTTCCAGCCCTGCAGCATCTCCCTCCTCTTTCCCTTCCTTGCTCTCCTTGGGCTGCCCACATGTCTGCATAGAGCCATGGCCGTTCACCCTGTGGACAACTTTGAGTCTGGACTCCTCTTTTTTGGCAGAACAACAGCTTAGGTCAGCCGTAAATTTAATTGAGCAGCACAAAGGATTTAGTGCACCTTGTGGTTAAAAATTACCTTGGGCTGGACAAAAGAAACACACGTGGCATTCCCTTTCTTTCTTCCTGTGACTGCTTAGGCTGTGGTTGTTTTTTTTTTTCCCTTTTGTCTCCCACTCCATGACATATAATGCAGATGTTATTTGCATCTTGGTGTGTCTCAAAACACTATGAGGCTTCTTACTAGCAATGATGAATTCAGTGTATGCAGCATAGAGCTGTGATTTCCCTCAGGGTCCTTTGTAGTAATAATTTCTGTAAATAAAGGCTGGAATTGGGATCTCTGTTGTAATAGGATTTTATTTGTGCAAGGGCTGGTAGCCATGTCCCCCTGATACTGCCCTGGATTAGGATTGTAGACTTCATGACAGCTTTGTGTGTGGGATGGGAAAGGTGGGCTGGCACAGAACACCCTTGAAGGGAGGGAGAGGAGTAAGACTCATCTATGGGAAGTGTTGGGATGTTTGGAGGCCAGAAACAGAGTGCTGATGGGTACCTCCACTTTCTTTTGGATTTCTAGATCTCACCAGACTGGTTTGTATTCCTGACAGGGGGCTGGCTTTCTGTAAAGACCCCATAGCCAAGGTAAAGTCCCCATCCTGCATAAGGTGCCAAAACCTGTTGGTCTTGGAGGAGAAGGAAGAGCCAGAAAGGAGAAAGTCTGAACAGGCTCTTGCTGCTGCTGTGACTGCATTGGTGTGTGTGGAGGAAAGCTGCAACCTCTTCATTCGTCTCTGGACTTGCAGAACTCGTGATTCCATGAGGCGGTGACTGCGGTGACCCGCATCCTGAGGCAGCTGCCTTTCCGAGAAGCTCACCTCTATAAAACACCCACCACTGCTGAGAGAGCAATTTGTCAGCCCCCTCGAATGAGGAGTGCAAGAAAAGGATGCCTTTAATTATTCCTGCCTGGGAGAGAGGTGAGCGAGGCGCGTGTGCGATCGCAAGCCTTGGGGGCTGTTAGATTTTCTTCTCACCTGTTCTGTCAGTAAGAAGCGCATGGGGGAAGCACGTGTGTGTTCACACATTCATTCTGCCACCCCTGCTGGTTGCAGTAACTCTTCCTGTGCTGGTGAAAGGATGCTGATGGAATCTTCTCTTCAGCGGGAGGATTGGTGGCTGTGCTGGAAGTGATGGGGCCTTTGTGCCTGGGCTGCTGCAGCACTGCAGAGCATCTTGTTGCAGGATCCTGAGCAGCTGTGGGTGAATGTAACACACTTTGAACATATCTCAGACATGTTGGTAAATTAAGATTTTTATTGTTGTGTTGTCTGTATCTCATCCTGAGTTGGTCCTGTACCCAGGTTAGGTGGGCTCAGTACCACCCAGTGATGTGAAGCTGAACTGTAGCTCTACTACACTATGGAGGTGAGAGGCTTTTCCTCAGGCAACGATGGCAAAGGATGCATGCCAGGTTCTGTGTCAGCAGCAGAGAGTTGTGCTGTTCTCAAAAATAACCAGGTGCCAGAATTGTTTGTCATGTGAAAAGGTGTGATGGCACTTCATCACTCCCTGGCATCACCTGGAAGGCTCAAGTGAGCTCTGACAAAGCCTGCACACCATTCACAGTGTAATTAGCACCACAAGTCTTGCTAATTGCTGAGGGTTTTTCTCTTCCCCCTCCTTTTTTCCAGCACAAAATTTTTCTAGTTATCTTGGGTTATCATCATGGTAGACAGTGTGCTAAGCCTGGATGCTCCTTCTGAGGGCTGGTGTCAGGAATAATTACTGCCAAAGTAAGCTGATCAGCCCTTCCTTATTAGCTGCTGTTGTTGTTACTCGACATTGATTAGTAATTTGTAGCTGCCAGTGCTTTCCTCTGCATTCAAAGCCCAGGGTTTGTTGGTGCTGTCCTGCCAAGGACAAATGAACGTTTTCCCCCCTTGCCACCCTGGAGCCTTCCTGTCTAGAGTGTGGTTTTTAAATCTCCAGTTTATGGCTGGGAAAGCAGCAGCAGCCCTGTCTGGATGCAGACTTTGCAGGTGAAAATTGCTGAGGGTCCAAGCTGGCTGCAGTAGTGGAAGTTCTTGTGGTGAGTGACCCACTGGTGGGACACTTTGTAATTTTAGGCTGAGAGCTTTGCAGTGATGCCCTCAAGTCCTGCATCACCCTGCTGGTTGGAGAGGTCAGTGGAGATGCCACCTTAAATATCAAATAGCTGCAGAGAGATCGGTGATGTTTGTAGGTGGCTGCTCACAGGTGTTCATGTCTGAGCTGGTGAGCAGCAGTGAAGACAGGTTTTGGAGGGGAATGAGGAGAAAACACACCTGTAGCCTCTATCTTGTTGTGAAATGTTCAGTTTGTTTTGAAGACAGGCCACTTAGCAACTTGAAACTGCAAATGCTGGGAGAGGGGGAGCCTCCCAACCAAGACCTGGGGTCAGGGGTCCTTCCTCAGTGCTGACTCTCTGTGTGGTTGTGTCTGTCTCTTATGTCTTTCAGCTGTTCCTATCTAGCTCTGAGAGCCATGTGCCATCACTTGTTTGTCTGACCTGCTGCTCTGTGGACCAGCTGTGCCTGTCAAAGCAGGGTCAGAGAGCAGAAGGCAGGCTTGCAAGCCTATGCTGGGATGGAGAGGGAAGTTTGGGCAAAGGAATAAAGGAATGCAAGTGCTTTTTATGTGATCTGTGCCTCTTGTGTCAGCATGTTGCTGGCTCACATGTTGCCTCAGGACCTCAGCAGCAAATCTTCTGAGCATTTTGGCTTGTCCAACATGGCCCTTTGCAGAGTGACATCCCAGGAGATGCTCTCCCACCGAACACCTGCATGCAAACAGTAACCTACCCTGTGCAAGCCCTCTGCAGAGGGGACATGGAGGAAGCGTTGGGCTGGCATGGAGCAGAGCAGTGTCCCCATCCATCTCTGCCAGCTGTGCCGCCAGTGCTGGGAGGCAGCGTGTGCCATCGCTGTCCATCTGACACAGCAGGTATAAATCATGCATGGGCAGCAGAGACGGCGGGGAACGCGCCTCCTCTCACCCCTACTCTGACTAGATCCCTGTGATGCCAGGGGGGTGGCAGGGGGCAAAGCTTGATGTCACTTCTTGGCACGGTAAGAAGATGTTATTCAAAGAGACTGTGACCTCTCCTGGCATGCAGAGCGCTGCCGGGGACCTCCAGCCCCGCGTCTGCGGCAAATCAAATGATGTGCGGTGGGACAGGAGGGCTGGCACTCAGACATCCATCACCAGCCTCCTGACTGTGCAGGAGAGGAAGAGAACTGCCAAGAAGCCTCCCCTCCATCAGTCCTCAGAGGCGCCGGTAGCTTAAATCCTGGGGTGTCTTCTTACTCATCCATTAGTGGACACTAACCACAGCTCCCTGTGCACTCACCTTAATGGCTGCCTCATCTGGACAAGTCCTAATTAAGACTGAGGAGTGGTTTCTTTACAAAACCTGTGCTCAAGTGTGTTTTTCTAGTTTCTCACCTTCTCAAATGAGATTTCCAGGGCTCAGGCTAGGTGATTTTTCTTTTCTTTAGTAGTTCCAGTGATTCACCAGTTTAAAAACGTGAGAGGACTGCAGGACACCCAATCAGGCTTCCTTTCTGATCACACATTCAGGGGATTTTATTATCTTTTCTTTTCCTCCCCAGAGAGCTCAAGCTCTGAGGTAGCTCAGGTAGAAACCTGCAAACCACAGAAATTAATCTTTGCTGACAAAAGCTTTCTGACTAAGCACCAGTCTGGATTTGAGGATGTGCTTGACACTCCCTGGTGAGCTTGCAAAGGTGGAGGGAGCACTGGTGTGTCCCACCACTGTGGCAGTGGATCACAGAAGGGTGTGCACTCACCATGGGGCAGAATTAGGGCGTCCAGGCCACTCTCTGTATGTAACAGTGACTGTGCAGTGCTATTGTGGGGATCTTGGAGGGTGAGACCAGTGATGTGTTAGACATCTGCATCTTTCCTGCAGGCTGCTCTGCAGGGCTGAGAGGTTTCTTCAGCTTGGAGGCCGCATACTCCAGCTCCTGTTCTTCACTGCTACAATCCAGTCTACACCAGTGACTTCAACGGGCCAGCCTCAGTTTACCTAACATGAAGATGTTAACTTTGACCTCAGCTGATTTCCCTGGCTCATCCTCTTCCATGTGATCTACCCAGCTTCTTGTCCAGCTTGCCCCTGCTGTGGAGGCCACCATCCCAGCCACAGGAGCAATGCTAGGCCTTGGCTGCTGGTTCATGTATCACTGGAAAGGGTAGAGGCTGCCGTGCTCTTCCCCTTCCTTGTGAGTTGGGGTAGGTGTGGTTTATGCAGCACTGAATGCAGCAGTGGAGGACGTTGCAGGCAACCCTGCAAGTGTCCCATGTGTTCACTGCCTAAACCGTGGCTCTCTGTGGAGGGCCTGCCTCCCTCTGCTGACAAGGACGTGCTGGTGATGTGCCACTCTGGTCTTGTGTGATAGAGGCAGCAGAATGTGAGAGGCTGTTGTCTCAGAGAGCAGCATGGGCCAAAAAATGTTGTGGAGAATGTCTCTGATTTGAGCTGGTGTCTGCTGGGATCTGAGCCTGCCTTTACAGAGCACTTTGGGTGGTTGGCACTTTCTTGCGTGCAGAAAGAGTTTGAGATGCTCAGCTGAGCCAGTTGCTTTGCAACTCATTTCCATTTCTCAGGCACTGCAGTGATGCTGCCGTGGTCTCTCCCCACAGGACAGTTCAGTCCCCTCAGCATGGACTGCCCAAGGGTGTAGAGAACCTTCCCCAGCTCACATCTCTCCAAGTGGGTTGCCGAGGGCAAGACAAGCTTTCAAACACCCCAAAGCAGAAGGGACAATTGTTACCCAAGCCCTGCCCAAGTTCTCCTAAGAAAAGAAAGACCCAAGTGTTGCAACATCCCTTAAAGCTCTCTGAGCAATGATGACTGAAATCTCCTGGACTCTGGCCCATGCCTCAAACGTCAGGTTCCCTGTCCCTTCTGACAGCTCTCTTCCACACAGGTGCCTGGGGAGTATAGCAAACCCTGCCAGGCTCTCCCAGCCCCTTTCACAGCAAGGCAGAGAGCCTCTAGATGGCAGCGTTTCTGTTCAGGAGCCCAGCAGCTGCTCCGGGCCAGCTCCGTGCATCCCTTTCCTGCCAGGCTTTGGAGGAGCTCCGAGATTAACGCTGGGCTGAAGTGGACAGCTTAGCACCCCGCTGCCTCTTATCACTTCCTCAGTGAAAGTGGCTTGAATTTTGTGACCTTAGGGGACCAGGTTTTAGCAGGCTGGACAGAAGTTTCTGGCTGTCCTTCCCCGCCACGTGATGAAACTGGCTCAGGATTGATTGCTGGGACAAGTGCCTGTTGGTCAGGAAGGTAGCAGGGATTTTGGTAGTGGGTGTCCTCTGCTGTGACAAAGCTCAGCTAGTTTTCTGTGTGTGCTTGAGGATGCAGACAGGGGATCTGCTCTTCCCAATGTGTGTGAAGGCTGCCTGTGGGAGACTAGGGCCTTGTCTTTGGCTGGAGAGGAGCTGGGAGCTTAGGGAAGGAAAATGTAGCTGGAGAGAGGACTGTAATTGCTCCTCCACACTTGGAGCTGTCACTTGCTGTCACCTCCTCCCTGCACTTGGCTTTGGTCACTGCCTGAGTGATGGGGATCCTGGGCTGAGTACCCTCCTCCTTTTCCTGGGCTTCTGCTGTGATGCTGAATGGAAACCACACCTCAGAGCCTGTGCCTGTGTTTATCTTCTCTCCTGGATACTAAAGTGACAGGTACTTTCTTTGTCCATATAAGTGTCAAGGGAGAAAGATGAAGGGAGCCTGGAGGCTGCTGTCCCTCACTGGGTGCACTTGATAGCTTTTATTTAAGCTTGGGGCCAATCTTACTTAGCTTCTGACCATGTTTTATCATGGACTCAACTCATTTGAGATCAAGGAGAGGAAGACTGGGAAAACCAAGGATGTGTTCCTGCCCCTGGGCACTGTGAAATGCAGCACTTGCAGACT